AAAAAAAAAGAAAAAAGAAAACAAAAAAAGAATAAACATGTGGATGTTTGTGTGTGTGTGTGTTTGCTTTTAATTTGAGACAGGGTCTGGCTCTGTTTCCACAGGCTGGAGTAAAGTGGTACCATACTGCTCAATGCAACCCTGACCTCCTCCTTCAAGGGTCATTCCACCTCCGCCCCCCAAGTAGCTAGGACTACAGGTTCATGCCACCACACCTGGCTAAATTTTTTTTTTGGTCAGAGATGAGGTCTTACTCTATTGCCCTGGTTTGAAACTCCTGAGCCAAGCGATCCTCCTTCCTTGGCCTCCCAAACTATTGGGATTACAGGCATGAGCCCCTGTGCTGGCTAAGAATTGGTATTTCTAACAAGCTCACAGGAGATGGTGATGCTGCTGGTCCTTGGCCCACACTTTGAGAACCAGCACCCCAGACAAAGCACACAGCTCTCCTGCTGCCTGTGAAGAAGGTACTCCCCTTCTGTGTGTGAGGAAGAAAATGTTTTTTGGTTGCCTGGTTGATTTTCCCAAGTGTCCTAATTGACTAGAAACTGAGAAAATGTCACCTGAGCATAGGCTTTCAAGTTCAGGAAGTCAGGCGAAGATGCCTAGGGAATGTCAGAGCCAGCGGTGCTAAGACGAGTGGTGGAATCTAGCTTCAGCATCTTTGACCACTGGCACCACTGAGCCTAAAGTTCCCACTCACTACTTTGAGGAAAGTAACATTAGCAGTTGGAAATATGAAGCTTTGTCCTGAACCAAAAGAAACTAATGCAAGAGAATGAGACAGAAAGAGTGTTTCTTCAGAAGACCCACGTCAACTATTCTTTGTGAGTGAGCGATTGGAACTCTCACTTCCTCATCTTAAATGAAAGTGGGCTGGGCGTGGTGGCTCATGCCTTTAACACCAGCACTTTGGGAGGCAAGGTGGGAGGATCACTTGAGTTCAGGTGTTCAAGACCAGCTTGGGCAACACAGAAAGACCTCATCGCTTCTAACAAAAATAACGATTGTCCAGGAGGGGTGGCTCACGCCTGTAATTCCAGCACTTAGGGAGACC